AAAAAATAATTCAATGAATTAAAGCACATACAAATTACATATTTAGAAAGATTATTATATTTTCTTTCCAACCATGTGAATAGTTTTAAGTTTGGACATGAAATACATGAGAAATTGCGAGTTGAACAGAATAAGTTGCAAATTTATCAATCTCAAACAAAATCAGATATCGACTAGAAATGCTATCATTACACAAGAAAATAAATGGCTTTGTTAGAAAGCAAAAATACAAAATTAGAAATCAAATTGAAAACCGCAGTATAAAGGAAAATAAAACAGAAAACGATACTGAAACATAAATTGCCAAACAGCCCAAACCATATTGAACACACCCAAACATTATTTTCTACTCAATCAATAATAAACAATATTACAAACATGCCAAAAAGATTCCACAATACAACACACATTGTTTAAAACAAAGTGTCTATTGGTTAGAATTTAACATCATTCGAAATATTTGACCAATCAGAGAAAACTAAAACCTTATTTTTCTTGAGTCTACTTTCGGAAATTTCGGGTATTTCTTATAAAACCAGCAGATTTCAACTTTCAAGAGATGTGACTATCTCCAAGCCATTCAAACACAATATATATGGCTACATAGCATTTTACCTTCCCCCAGCATGTGCTGAAACAAACAGGTGTCAATGATTTCAAATGAGTCATCTCCAACAGCAGAGACAGTTAATCTTTTTAGCATGGACTAACTAAAGACTATTTTTACTCTTTTATGACTCTTTTGAATTCATTTACATATGTTTATCAATACAAATGATTTATTTAACAGAGATTCTCAGGTTTTCTTTATTTTTACTTTGTTATTGTTTGGACCTCGGATGTTCAGATTTTTAATATAAAAAACCTATATGACAGAATTTCCTACAAATGGTGACCTCAGTGATGAAAACCAACCTTCTGATGCCTTTACACACATATTGCCAGACACTGACTTCACACAAAAGTCAATAACTTGACAACAGAACATTTCTGAAACCATGATAACGTCAAAACAATGGCTACAAAATTAAACAACGATCCTACAGAAGCCACACTGACTTTAAATCTGCCTGTATACAACACTACAAATGTACAAATTTGGCTCTTCCAACTACAGGCAATTTTCAATGCCAAGCAGATCATGTCACAACATACTAAATACACAGATATGGTGGAGAAGCTTCCCCATGATATTGCAACAGAATTGGTAGATTTACTGGTATATATGCCAGAGGAGAAGCCATATGACACATTAAAGAATGTCATCACCAGGCAAACCCCCCAAAAAAGACACCTATATGTTTAGGTCTCAGCAATATGAAACCTTCACAGCTACTCTGAAAAATGAAAGCTCTTCTAGAAATAAACTGTGTGATAAGGTCTATAAGCAATTGTGGAGCAATAAACTTTGCATACATATAACAAGGATACTCATCTCCTTAGCTGAAGACATGGACATGAGTGAGTGGTGGAATTTTCCAACAGGATATACAATGGCAACTCGCAAAAAGGTGTGTACGCTACAGCAGCAGACACACACCAATGGATGGATATTGTAACAGAATGTCACACATTTAAAAAAATATGAAGCTGTTAACAATTCAGCTCAAAACCTAACGAAAAGATAAAAAAGCCTGAATTTCTCTCATTCCCAAACAGATTTCAGGAAGTGGTCAAAGTCTCCCTGTAGAAACAGGATCTAGTTGATCTTTTCCAGGGACATCTGTTGATATCACTATGAGGAATGAGGCTCAAAAATGCATAGAATTCTGCACGTTAAACTTTCAAAACCTCTTGCATCTAGGACTTCAAGCTACTGTCAAACTAGTCATTTTGTCTGGACTAACATGCAAATAAACATCAGAAACTGGACTCAGAAATGTTTAAATTTCCTACAGTCTAATTTCCTGATAAAACTGTTTTAATAAAAAAGATTTTATAAATTTCAACCAACATTAATACTAAATGTTCAGTCAATGGATGCCAAATGTTTCCTTATAAGGAAAGGGCCAATCTGACAATTACCACTACACTCACTACAGGATTTAAAAAATTGTTTATATCAAAAATATATCTAATTTTCATCACTTCAGTGTAGTACTCTATGCAAATCTTCAGTCATCTTATAAACTGGTATATAGATATATAGATATATATAATACAAAAGACTCAAACACTAATATTCCATGTTTATAATTTATTACATTGGAATCATAATCATGATCCAATTCATCAGACCTACAAATTCAAAAAATGATGTACAAATTCAAAAAATATAATAAATTATAACCATAGAATATTAGTGTTTGAGCCTTTTATATTATATTCTTGCTCTACCTGGATTCTATCCTCTTGGAAATATATATATATATATTTTCAGTCAAGTTAGCTTTGACATTCATGAGTCTATCATGCCAGCAACCATCATTGTCCCGCATCAAGGTCAGAAGGACATTAGGGAGGCATTCTGTGAAATAACATAGCTGGTCAATGTAGATGGTTGCTGGGCAATCAATTCTTGCTCCATGGCTAGGTGTCCAGAACAGCAGATCACTCACAAGTTTTTGTTTTGCTCACCAACAGTGTCCTGCAATGCACATTTTGCATTTGCGTAAGATTGTAAAAATATTAAAAATGGGTCCATAGAGCTGTCTCCAGAAGATTATAGCTCTCAGCATCTGAGTGTAGGTTCCATCAAGCTTAGACTGTAGGGTTTTAGTTAATGTTCAGGCAGTGGCGCCATACATTAACATTGCTTCTACAGTGGCTCAAAAGAATCTCTTCTTAAGGTTGTCTGGTAAATCAGATTTCCAGATTGCATCCATTTTATTCAAGGTGATCCAGGCTTTAGCTATGCAAATTTCCACATCCTTTCCAGTAGAATTTATCTTGCTTCCTAGGTAGGCAAAAGATTCAACAGATTTTATTGATTCATCTGAGAGTTTGTATTGAGCCTTGTTGGTTGAAACCTATAAATTCAATTTTAGAGACATTGACACAGAGTTCAACATTACTGGCAGCATTTTCTAGATGATGTAAGTACTGTGGCATTAGTAATGATGTCTGCAGTGGTAGCTAGTTCATAAATCAGTTATGAATGTTTAAAGGATTATGCACACAATATGCACCAAATTCTTAAAAGACAAAAAAAATATTTATAGAATTTGTTCTTTAAGAGCAAACATTAATTACTTTAGTTTAAGTTGATGATGAAGTCAAAATATTTTCCCCCAAATAATGCATTTTTGCTGAAAAATGGTCAGTTACATTCTTTTTTTTTTTTTTAATTCAAAGACAAAAGGGAAAAATATGATGTCTTTAAAAAAATAACTGTATTTAGGAAATAATATACTCAGAAGGAAAAAAAAAGAAAGAACATTATATACTAGAAAGTGTTTCAGGAAATCACTGGGAGAGAATTTTACAAAAAAAAAAAAATATATATATAAGACGCGAAAGTTTTAAATTTGTCAATTACCGATCCGTCATTTGTGGGAAGTGGATATTGCCGATTGCGTGATGGATAAGGAGAAATAAATATCAGTAATAATTTTTTTTTTAAATAATAAAGATATTCAGGCCAGAAAACTTAAACCTAACAGATGCTGTCGTAAAAAGGTTATTCCATATCGCTTTTAGTTTTCTGGATCATAAAAAAAAAAATTGAATTCTAATTTCATCCACAAAAAAATAGAGGGACTGACATTTGCATTCATAATTGATTGAAAGACTTTCATGCTCATAAACAATTTTTTTTTCGTCTCTTTAGTTTGTCTTTCTCTTTAAATCTTAATTTTGTTTGCTGAGCGTATATAACATTAATTTTTATTTGCTAACATTCGGTTTTTTTCCGTTTTTAAAATCTTGTTTTTCATTTTCAGTGAACAAGTCAAGAGGATTATTTTTTATATTTTTGTGCTTTTAATGAATGACCTTTTGAGATTTTTAAGGGGTTCAATATACAAATAAGTAACGGTAAAAAATCATAAACCTTGTCTTTACTTTACCTTATCCATCTCTATTAGGGTCTTCTTCGAGTTCGTACTGTCCATAAGGTACGGAGGTAAAACACAAAAGTAAAACTTCTAAGTCTAAAACTCTTAAAGTAAACCTAACCACAATTTTTTTTTGTTTTTTGTAATGAAACGAAAAAGCAAAGCTTCCGTAATAAAGTCGGACAAGAAACATTACAAATTTACCATTCAAATTAATAAATGCGAATGAAACATCTGCTTTCAAAGACGGGCAAAAAATAAGGGTACATTTTTGCATTATATACACATTATAAAATGAACCCTCATTTTAGAGCCGCATTATAAGTTCCCATTATTATAAAAATTAATTTTTAATTTAATTTAGACGGTCATAGTCGGACAAAGTAGATCAGATTGCGTAAAAATGCATGCTATCATTGAACAGAATCAATTTTTTCTTAACCTAAGGATTTAAAAAAAATTGTTTGACCTTTTGGTGGGGAGGTGCTGAGAGAATAAAGAAAGATTCGGTTAAACTAAAACTTGTATTTTTCTAGAAAAATATGTTATTCTGTGGTATTTATGTGCTTTAAATAAACAGGTTCTCATTTCTTTGGGAAATTAACTTTTAAGATTTTTTTGATTTACAAAAAAATTGTACATTCGATGTAAAAATATTGGCCACAAAATCAGTGTCCATTTTGGCATTATGCGTAAATTGTAAATAGAACCCCTACTTTAGAGCCACTTCACTTAAAAATCACTTTGAAAAACAAAAAAAATGACAAAATGAACGGAGTCCCTAAGAAAAGAAATGTAATTTTCATAAGAGGCAGGACAAAGTAAATCAAAAACAGAAAATTGTAGAAAAAATATAATTTTAGCTTAACCGAATCTTTACCTTACTTTTTAACTTTTTTAAAAAAAAAAGTGAAGTCGTATTAATAAAAATGATTTTTAGTTTAAAAGTAAATTTTTGTCACCTAAGAAGAGAATATTTAAATTGACAGCCTTAATTATACGAACCAGTTGAGCAGCTTTAAGATCTCGATAAAGGATGGCCTTCCTAAGAGTTCGAGGAGGATTTTCAGTTAAATAGATACATCGGTCTCCCAATACTAAATAGCGCCATTTTCTGTCCACAATACAAGAATCATAAGCACGGAGCCGTTCATATCTTTCCTCCGTTAGGGAACGTTTCAGGAAACATTCAGTTTGTTGTTGCGAGGACCTGCCCGCATGGCCTCGCCACAAAACAAATCACATCCTCAAATATTTCTCACAGGTGTCAAGTTCTCAACTCCAGGAATGAAGATAAACAAAACTGAAAATTGCTTCCTTCGTAACGTAAACATTAACCCAGCAACAACGGGGAGATAACTCTTTTTTACTCGTTGCTATTTTATGAAAAGTTTTCATAAAGTCTTTTTTTTTTTAATTTGACCCTCGGTTGAAAAATCAATTATTTAAACTTTTTTTTTTCTAATTTTTAGTGGATAAATAAAATTCTGTTATCCCAAACAATTATATTTCAACTTATACAAATTTATTTTCCATTAAATGTTCTTTAGATTTATTAGAAGAAATAATGGGTCACTTTTCTTCTCTCTGAGCCAAAGTGCTATGAAATTTTAAAAGAAGACTGAATTTGACATCTTGGCTTCAATCCATGGCAATATTGTTGGGCTAAATCTAGGGTTACCAGATTAGGAGATTAGAAATATGGGTCACTTAAAATCTCTCTCATATATATAAATTTATACATGCCTACACAACCAAGACCAATATATTATATAAAAGGAGAGTCACAAGTTAAAAAATAAAGCAATGATTTTAATAGGTTATGAGGAAAATAAAAGTAAAATTATTTGAAAATTATTAAATACACACTAAGAAAAAGAAAAAAAATATTTATTTAATACAGACAACAGAGAAATAAACATGTCAGTTTTGTGTAGACTTCTAGCATCACTAGTTTTCTCGTTACATTTGGATTATTTTCATCAAGTGAATCTGAGAAAAGAAAGTATAATTACTTATAAAGTTACAACCAAGAACCAAAAGAAGAAGGTAATAAAAATATATTTTCATTAACAAAATTTGAAAATTAACTAAATATGGGATATCTGAGGTGTCCCTGAAAGGTCAATATAGGACAGGGGATAAAATTATCCAATATGAGATATGTCCAGTATATAAGGTACATCTGGCCAGCCTAGCTAAGGCATATCAGTTTTCCAAAATCATTACTGCCATTGTTTTTCAAGATAAATCAGAAAATTTCATTTCTTATGTCTTTTTTTAAATATTAGCTTAAAAATGACTTTAGAAGCCTAAGGATCTTATTCCAGAAAATAAATAGAAGAGAAAAGAAGAAAATAATATGTATTTAAAATAAAGTAAAAAATATCTACAATATCTAAAAATAAATTCATTTTATGACAGGATCAGATAAATTATAAAAATTTTGTTTTTTATTACTGTTAGTCTTTGGTGTAATAATAAATGTTTATTCATCCAGGTTGTTTTTTTTTGTTTTTTTTTTGGTACACGTTTTTTCAAGAGAAGTGTATTGAAAGCCAGACAGTTTGTGTAAAAAATGTTGCATATGTATATCTTTTTAGGCTCAGAGATTAAAAACTGCCAAAATTGTTAAGGATCCATTTAATATCTGTCTATATTTCTGAGATGAGGTATTATGTACACTATTTACATTATTTGGACTATTGTCCTCATCTTTTTCGCCATATTTATCACAACATTTACACTCCAGCCTTCTTCAGGTAGTTGGAATGTCGAACTAAACCCTTTATTTCGCTCACTGGGGTAGACTGTGTTCTAGTTCCACATACCATGTTTAATAGATGTCAGTTATCAGTTACCTCCTGTTAATTCCCCTTTCCAAGTTCTCCACTGCCTTAACCGGGTATTGAACTATACATCCTTTGTATTTTCTCTGATAATCCCTTCACATAAGGCAGGCAGATAAAGGGAAGACAGGCCGTCCCCTTAAATTAAGGCTTCAAGAACACCAGAAAGCTGTAACATGAGGGGAGGTGGAAAAATCAGGCGTGGCTGACCATATATGGAGAGAAAAGGGAGATCACCACCTTCTAAGGGATCAGGTTGAGATCATAGACAAAGAACACCATTGGAAAATTCATAAACTTAAGGAATCAGCACATATGCTAGGCCACAAAAATCTCCTGAGCATAGAAATGAATACAATATGGGAACCAGTAATAAGGAGTGTCAGAGAAAAGCGATAACAACAAAAATTGCAATATGAGCTCTGGTAAAAGCATGCAATGATAACAGCAAAAATTGCAATATGAGCACTGGTAAAAAACGGTTACTGATGACATTAAGTTTATAATACCCAGAAATTCATACACCAATATCCTCAAGGACACATGGCACAGTGGATAAAGGTGTTAGTTAGTGACAGGACCCAGAGTGTGAGTTCAATACCTGGTTAAGGTAACTTGGAGAGCAATTAACAAGCGATAACTGACATCCATTAAAACATGGCACATGGAACTAGAACAGTCTACCCCAGTGAGTGAAATAAATGGTTCAGTTCAACATTCTGACCGCCTATTCGGTGTATAACATAAATATAGCGACAAAGATGAGGACAATAGTGTAAATGGGATCCATTTCAAGTTAATGAAAAATAGTTTTTCATATTTACTGACCTACTAAGAACCTGAATGGGGACCATGTGTGAGCCTCTTTTTTTGAATAAAAGGTCTGTAGATAATTTAAGAAAGGCATTTTGACTTCAAGGAGGAGAAGGAATTTCAACCTCAAGGAGGAGAAGGAATTTTGATCTCAAGGAGAAGAAGGCAATTTTTGATATCAAGATGAAAACATCTATACATTCCATTAAAAAAGAATAAAATTACAAGACAGCAGTAGAGAGCCCAAAATAATTTTTAAGTTCTCAGGTGAAAATTCTCTTGTGGTTGGACAATGAAGAATGAAAAAAGAATTCAAAGAAATTTTCCCAAAAGCTTCAGTTTTTTTTCAAAAAGGTGGTTGCACCTTTTTTTACTTCCTTCTTGAATGTGCTTTCACTTTTTGTCATTTTCGAAAATTGAATTCTTGTGTCTTTTTCTAAAATGTAATCTTTTTTTCATTTTAGATGGTTATCCTTTTTTTGCAATATCTGTAAATGTTACCCAGCTTTACTTACTTGTTTATAAGGTGTACAAAAGGAATTTTTTTGTGCATCTTATATGTAAATTTTTGTATTTGTATTTTTCCTTTTTCTGTACACTGTAATAAATATTTATCCTTTAAAATTTTACACAATGGTTTGAGTCTTAATTGCTACCTTATACAACTTTCTGTTCTTACTAACTAGTTTTTGTGTTTGGAACAAGAATTTAGATTTGGTAGAAAGTTCAAATTTTGCCCTCTCCTTTTAACATCTGATTTTAGCCTTCCATCCAGTTTTATTTTTTTGTGGCACCTTGTTTAAACCTTCTAATATTTTTAAAGTTTAAAGCTTTTTATTACTTTCTCAAGGCATTTTCCATTTTTAGAAGAGTGTATCATAAATCATTTTAAGCACTTTTATACATTTTGATCTGTTATCTTGCCTTGTTCATAATAAGCTGCACAAAAGGAAATTTTTGTGCAAGCCTATTCTGTAAAAAATTGTAATTTATTATATCGTTTTAATGTCTTTTAATGAATGTTTTCCCTGTTTAAATTTCACTTAGTAGTTTCAAATCTTGTTTGCTTTTATGTTCACCTATTTTAAATTTTGGAATAAGAGAAGTGAAGTTCTCTCTTCTTGCACTCTCTCCAAGGAAAAAATCCTTTTAGGCTTCTTCAAAGTTGAATTTGGGTTTTGTTTGAAAGATAATAGCATAAATCTAATCTGTAAAAAATAATTTTACATATTTAAAATAAAGTTTTAAAACATTGGTATGCTTACACATTACTCAAATTAAAAAATTTTTTCAATGAATAACAAATTTTCATAAGAATTGTTTTCATTTTTTTAAAATTTTAATTAGATTAATTTATAAATTTTTAAATCTTTTTAAATTCTGTATTAATTTGTAGTGGTCAAGTGATATAGTTATTAAATTAAAATTGTATTTAGTAATCATAAAGTTTACTACAATTCAATGACCCTCAATATTTAAAAACAAATTTGATTTGTGTGAGTGTGTAGAAATGTGACAATTTTTGTAAATAGAGAAAATTATATTTAAATGTTTTAAAATTTTACTAAAGAAAATAGATTACTTGAACAAATACCACTTTTAATTTGTAGTGTTTGTGAAGAAAAAAATTGTATAAATTATTGTAAAACAAACAAATTCAAATTATAGTGGACACATTATTAAAACTGTTGTGATGAAATAACCTGACTTCCCCATTCACCATAAATGGACGTTCCGGTGGCCAATAAAGTTCGACCACAGTAAACAGTCCAGGAGGATCAACAGAGCGACAGAGCGAGAGAAAGACTTCCGAGTCAGACCATTTTTTTGACTGTTTTTCTTGTGTCCCGGTTTGATTGTTGCACGTCGTTTTTTTTTAATTTTTTTTTTTACGATTGTTTGCTCCTGTGATCTGTCTACCTATTTGGAAGAACTTTATTGAAATTGCAAGTCTTTTCTGATAAGTTATTGATTTAAGTTTTTATTCTTTTAATTTTTTCCATTTCTTTTGTTTGTTTTAAATTTGTTTTTTTGGGCTTCGGCCCACATTTTTTCTTTTTTTAGTCCGGTTTGACAAAGTCTTACCGGACGACTGCTTTCTTATTTTTTTTTCAGTTTTAAAAATTTAAGAACAGTTTCTGACAAAAGAAAAAGAAAGTTTTTATTTTTTTTTTTTTTTTAGTGATTTTGGTCGCTTTCTTTCTTTTGGTTTGACTAGTTTGTTTTTTTTTTTACTTTTAATTTATTTTCTTTATCGGCTTCGGCCGATAACCTTTATTTTTATTTTCTTTTTCCTTTTTGTACATATTTGAATTTTTTGAAAAAAAAAAGAGAGAGGAGTTTTATTTTTTCGGCTGCCTTCGGGCGCCATTTTTATTTTTATTTTTTTGGAAAAAAAAGTCTTACCTATTTATTTTCTTGCTGTCATTTATTTTATTTTTACTTTAAGTTTATTTCTATTTCCTGGTTTATCCAGGCCTTCTTTAATTGTTTTATTCCCCCCCCCAAACTCCTCCCCTGGTTGTGGAAAATTTCCCCGCGAGTGTTTAGTCTCTACG